AAGAAGATAAAAGACATTTTTTTCCGGTAACAGCAACAAAGTGGCTGGCCGCCATTTTGGATTATCGCTGGAGGTGATTATCGTGTGATAGTGTGAGTTTCTCGACCAATCAATGCACGAGATTTTCAATAATCACCTGTGTATTTTTACTAAACAGTATTACTTGATGGCTTACCTGTGATCCTGAGTATCTTAGTGCYAGTTTACGGCTTATTATAGACTGAACATCATCAGGACTGCAAAAACAAGCATAATTTTCAAATGATTAAATTACAGTATGTCTCATTAATGTAATAAATTTTAGCAAACCAATTTTTACAGCAAGTTTCTACAACCTGGACACTGTCCATTTTCTTCTTTTTTGATTGACATTTATTAAATAAACAATAGTCTGAAATTGTTCATTTTTGGTATTGATGGAAGCCGAAATCACAGTGTTGTCTGGAAGCTTTTGAAGGGATAGAAAAATGGATATAGGTACAGTAGTCACTAATTATGAGACTTGTTATCATTATAGCAGGGTCTGGAAGGTGGGAAAGGGTCTGGTACAATACTGTACACTGTATCTGTCACTGAAATCTCACATCATTAATTGCAAGCGACAACCACATTTAACATACAGCTGTATTCAAAGGTGTTTGAATTTTTTTATTATTTATTAACGGTTTTCATGTTTTCYCCAAGGATCAGAAAGCAAAATCCCACATCCTGGACATCGAATTCGCCAATTCCCTAGTCATGGCTAATGCCATATATCCAGTTTTCTATTTCCCCCCCTAGTTTTCAGGATTCTGTGCTAAATTCTATTCATTTTATCTGTTTTATCTGGCAAATACCYTTCCAGACCCTGTTACAGCACAGCATGACATCAGTAGTGTGAAGTATAAACATGAAGATGTCAGGCGTCCCACTTACCTGTCAAGCATAATTTTGCACAGTAACATATACTTCAACGCTGATACTGCTTTGGGACTGTCAATAGAATCAAACCCCTACAAAGTAGAAAAAGATGAAAAA